GAGAGAAGAGAGCGATTTTTAGCTGACTTTGAGAATTTATTGTGAATCTCACGCGTGGTGCTGCGCTATATTTGACTTGCGTGTCCTCGGTAGCCTCGACTACAGATCGGCAGCGTTTTCTGACAATGCTCAACAAGTGTTACAGGGCCCCTTTAAATTTGAAGGGGGGGCTTTGCGGCAGAGCGAGTTTCTCCTTAATAGATGCTTTTACGGTTCAGCATCACTCTGCTGCAGTAAAACCTTCTTCACAGGCAGTACATTTGAATTAATATGCATCTATTTGTTCCTTGCGAACACTTCGAAATTTTCAATATTCTAAATTTGAACCGAAGCAAATTGTTTGAATATTTGAAGCATTCAAATAATCGCACAATCCTACGAACGAATATTTATGAACATTGAATATTCGAGGAATATTCAAATTAGTTCGAATGTTCTAAGTTTTCAAATATCTTGTTATCGAATCGAATTCGAATCCAATATTCGCACACCCCGAGTATATAATGTAAGCAGTAGTGATCCAGCTGCGCCATTTGCGCCAATTTGCTACAATCATACCTTCCTGCGCCTTACTGCGCAAGTGTTGTTTTGTTTGCGCCAAATGCGCCAAATTGCACGAAAGAACCCGACTTTAGCGGATGTTCATTTTGCAGTTGGCAACAAGTGAATTTTTTTCTAGGTTGGCAACTGTTTATCATGTGCTTTGCAGCTTTGGTATTCGTCGGTGTCGTTCGGGTGTTTTCTGTAGGTTTTCGCGCTCATGCACAGCACGTCGTGTCGTTGCATGTGCGCCATGTGCTTGTGAACAACCAGTCAGCGAATGTTTGTCATCCCCCCGCTGTTGAAATGGACAAAAGTAAGTCGCTTTCTTTTTAAATTTTGTGGCATTTCTTAATAGCGCCCGTGAAATACTTTAGTGAATGCTTAGGCGATCGCGTAGCGCTGCTGGCATTTATTACCGGCCGCACTTTGCTATTGAATCAGTACAGAAGTTGCAACTTGCCTATAGTTCTTCCGATTTCTCGCTACTGATGGTTTTTGTGTTCGGAGTGTCCGAGCGCTGTACGTAGGCTTAGGAATGTGCGCCGTGCCTTGTTTCGTAGTGCGGAATATCCGCATTTGAAACGCGCAGTCGCTCGTACGGCATGCAGCAGTTACACCTCCTACATGCTACCGTTCGGAACATATAATAGTGCGAAACGAACGAGCGAGTGACGCGGAATACACAAAGAATTTCTGCAGGCGGGTCGCTTTTGTTGACGTTAGCAGATCGCTAGATGGGCCGTATGTGCTGCCGGCGCGTCACGGATCGGGCGCCCCACCGTGCGAGCTGCTTGTAGAATAGTCGGAAAAGAGTGATTGAGCGTCGACCATGTCAACACAAGCAAGTCAATAAGCACCGTAATGTTACCGCATTAGCGGCCGCCGATCGTTGGGAATCCGCTATTCGTGACGTGCCGTTCCCAATCAGCTTTTTTAAATATTTAATTTAAGGAAAACATTGCTGTCGATTTATGCTCTGGTCATCGCGCGCCGCGCCGGAAGGAAGCAAACCTCCAACATACATTAGCGCCTTATGCCGCCTTGCCAGCTGGGGCAATGCGTTTGTCTGCGGCCGTCAGACCCACGCGTCATCCGCATGGCAACTTCCTGTAAGTTGGTCGCGAGTTTTAGGTGTGAATGGTCGACAGACAACTGGCATCCCGATTCGCGCCATTTGTCGAGGCTGTACCCAAAATGCTTGCGCAAATATTTGGTGTTGGCGCCTTAGAGTTGGTATTTAGATCTTCCAATGAAGTAAGGTTGGCATTATGTTACGGGCTACCCTAAAAATAAATCTAGTAGTTACGTGCTCTTTTTACTAGCGTGCCTTTGTCGTGGGAAAATTTACAAGAGCGGAACCTTGGGCTAGTTGGTGCGTAGTCACATTTGCAAGTTTTTTATACTGACGCATTGACTAGGCTTGTATTTTGTCATGTTTTTAATCATCCTTTCTTTGGGCATATATATTCTTGCCACTCTGTGATATAAAGTTAGAAGTCAGTGCTCTTTCTGTCTACCCTGTTGCTTTTACCTATATTCACGCTCTGAAAAAAAACTTGGCAAAGTTTACTGTCATAAAGTTCGTTTCGCTCATGTTTTCAGATCGCAACACCAAGTTCAACGCCTCTGTACTCAACGAGGTGGACTCCAATAATGATCCGATCAGTCGGTGGTGCAAGAGTGGAACCCGAAATACAGATGCATTTTGTATTCTTTGCAACTGCACCATTTCTTGCGCACAGCATGGAGCGGCAGCAGTGAAGCGTCATGCTGGGATGAAGAAACATATTGATGCAGCTGCTAGACACAGAGACAAGGACGGGAATCTTCTTCCACCCAAATTGGTGCAAGGCACACTGGACTTCTCCAACGGGTCTGCTAATACATCACTTGAGCACCAAGTCAGCAAGGCAGAAACTACTTTTGCTTTGTCTGTTGTGGCCAAGGGAATTCCTTTTTCATGGGGAGACACGGCAACTTCGATTTATCACTGCATGTTCCCCGACAGTGACATTGCCAAAAAGTTTAGTTGCGGCAGAATAAAGTTGGCCCGCATTGTATCAGATGGACTGGGTCCCTACTTTAAAGGACAAGTGGTGACTGAGCTTTGCCAGCCAAATGTCTATTTTTCCATTATGATTGATGAGACGCCAAAGCCAGAGCTAAGGGTGCAGCAACTAGATGTGCTGGTACGCTATTTTTCCAGCAGCCAACAGGAAGTTGTTGTTGAACATGTCCAGTCATTTGATCTTGGGCGTGCAACCGCTGAAATAATTGTTGGCTGCATAGAAGAAGCAATAGCAGATCTTCCAAAGCAAGGACTTGTTTGCTTTTTCAGTGATGGCCCTAATGTTATGAAGAGCGTAAGAAACAAGCTTCAGAAGCATGTGGCACCAAGTTTGATTGATATTGGCAACTGCAATCTTCATAAGGTTCACAATGCATTTGGCAGAGGCCTGGATGCATTTGGCTTAGATGTAGAAGAAGTAGTGAGAAATATTTACTACTACTTCAAAGGTGCTGTCCGCGCTGAAGCACTCAGAGAATGCCAGGATACTTTGGGAATCTCTTGTCATGTATTTCTGCGCCACGTTTCTAATCGCTGGCTGACGCTACAAGACTCACTTTGCCGAGTTGAGGAACAGTTTGAAGCGCCTCGCACCTATTTCTTTAAGGGCAATTCATCTCGTCAACGACCTGACACCCAAAGCCTACACAACAAGCTTGTGTCGGCATTTTCTGAGAAACAACTTTTGGCCAAAGTGTTGTTCCTTAAGAACTGTGCGCAGCTTTTCAGTGGATTTCAGCTGCTCTTCCAAAAGCAAGAGCCGCTCTTGCACATACTTCACGTTGAACTTATTGTTCTAGTCCAACGAGTCCTCAGTCGGTTTCTTCGTCATGAAGCCTTTGCAGACAAGACCGCTGAACAACTGAAAAGGCTAGATGTGATGGATGCATCCCTTTGGAAATCAAGGCCGGAAGTTGGTACAGATACTGAAAAATCAATGCTTGAGTGGGACTCTAGTGAGAAGAAGCGGTTTTATCTTGGAGCACGTGCTTTTTACTTGGCCTGTGCCAAGGATCTTCTTCAGAAGCTTCCACTCGACAATAGAGTTCTTCAATCTGCTAGCCTCCTCAATTGGCAGTCAACAAATGTTGAATCGGAAGTGCGAGCACTGAAGTACCTTGTGTCTCAGCTTCCACAGGTAATCAAACATGAAGAAGTTTCCTCAGCCATCGATGAGTGGCATATGTTAAAGTGTGACTCAAACAGTGACCTCCTGGCACTTGGAGGTGAAAGAATTGATGTTCGTTGGGGCAAAATATTTGAACTGAAGTCTCCTGGAGGTCAACCAAAGTATCCATTATTGTCGAGGCTTGTCAAGTGTCTGCTGTGCCTGCCACATGGCAACGCAGACTGCGAACGAGGATTTAGCGAAAATAAGCGCTTTTATGAGAACCGCTACTCATTATGCATTGCAAGCATTAACGGGTTGCGCCAGACAAAGACATACCTCCGCAGGTATGATGGAGATGCCACTAAAGTTCCCTTGTCTACAGAGCTTCTGCAAAGTGTAAGGAGATCTAGAGCCCGATACACAGAGAGAACTGCAAGTGCACAGCAGTCAGAAAGCAGGAAAAGGCTTGGAGACCAAGACACTGGTGCTGATGTCGACGAAAAGCGACTTCGTAAGAACTTGGAAGAAAAGGTCACCTCAAGTAGGGCATTGCTGAAACGAGCAGAAGACATAATTTCTTCTGGTCTGCGTTCTAAGAGCCTGGAACAAGTTGAAGCTGGGCAAACTTTATTAGCTGAAGGCAACTCCGCTTTGAGCCAAACCCTCTCACAGCTGGAAGAACTAAGCAAGAAGGTGAGCAAGAGGACGTAAATGCTGCAACATGCACATCTTTCTTCTGTAAATAAATGAAAGTTCAAAACTCTCCTTACAGTTCGGTTTCTGGGAATTTTCGTCGTAGCTTTTAGTGTACTTTAATAAACTAATGCTACACCTGCACTACCTTCATTTCAGTAGTGCATTAAATCTGATGGACTGGTCCATTTCTTGGTGGCTTTTAAAATCGGCATGCACGTGACACTCTAATTAATAATTGAGAATTGAGACAAATACGGTTTTATAGAACTGTGGTTGCTATCACAGCTTTAGTTTCAGCAATAATGAGAGATGTATTTTTGTAAAATAAGTTGCTGCTACAATTGCTGCTCCAAAATCGAGTGCCGATACAAAGGTGCTCCAAAAGAGCATTTTCTCTGCTCCAAAAATTGCTCCAAAAGTTGAAGTGGCTGGATCACCACTGTGTAAGGAATATACCTTTAAAATAAATTTCTCGTTATGACGAACTTATTTTTATGTAAGATGCAACTTTGTTATTATGGGGTTTGAGTGTAGACACGCATCGAACCTTATTTTCGTTGACCTTGGTATTGGAATTTTCAGATGGAGGATGCGGAAGTTGACACGGTCGAGAGCAGCATCGTTAGTGTTGTGACCTCTCTTTCCTTCAAGCTTTCTGAGGTCACGTTTCGTCCATTCTTTTACAAGGTGGGTGACACATATAGAAGCCTGTATTGTTTGTTATTTTGTTTTAAATTATACAGCATCCCATAGGATACCTTGTCTGTTATAGGTGCACAGAATAAGGAGAGTACAGCGAACAGTCTACGAAAAAGTGCAGTCAGATCACTTATAGCCTAAAGAGCCCTTAAAATTATATTGGAGGGAAAAAAGTTTAAAGGACTAGAGTACTCAAAACAATTAGTGATAAAAAGAACTAGAGTACTTAAAACAATTATTGATAATGCTTTTACGCACTGCTGTCAATAGCGTGTTGCTTCTGAAATAGCTTCTGTTTCCACTTTAGTACTTGCTTGGGTGCTTCTGCTAAATTTTTCCTCGAGTGAACCTTTTCAATCCATTCTTTCACAATCCTTGTCCAACACATTATGGGCTATTTACCTGCACCCACTTTCTTCTTACACTTTCATAACTTGAGCCATGTCATTGTGATCACTGTTGCTCAAGATTTAGAGTTTTCTTTTTTATTGAAATGTAAACCTATAGTGAGCGCATTGCAGCACATGATTGTTTGTGCAGAAAGGCACAACTTCTGCATTGGCGATTGCATTGTCAGGTATCACTGCCGGACTGTAGATCTCATCTAGTGCACGTATGCTCATGCAACCGTCTCCGTTGGCTTTCGTTACTTGGAATTCTCACGAAATTCTGAATAATTTACTGCCACATGGCATAGTCACTGCATGAACGCACTAATCTTCACCAACTGTTTTCAGATGTACAACTGGGCTGCTGTGGAAGATCCGGATAAGAACAAAGTCCTCACGTTCTACCACCTCACTGAAAGGTAAAAAACTAAAGTGCACAAACTTGATCTGTGTGCTGTTTGCATTTTACACGTTGTACAACCAAATTTTATTCTCCTTGCTGTCATATGCATAATAAAAACATTAGCTAGTGCACTTACATGGCAGGGCTAGAATGAGAAGATTGTAGGAATAACCTGAGAGTTCTCTTCCAGCACAGTATCTGCTCACACTGTTCTTATCGCTAAATGTAGGGGATGATAAGGACATGTAGCAAAAACGGGCTTTGCATTTCACTGTCTCGTAATTTGTCGATCTTGTCCCGTTATTTTCCTGTTTGACTTTCATTTTGCTGTTGTTTCTTTTTTTGGTCTCCAGGTTATCGGAAATGCTCAAGAGCCTGTTTGTCTTGTTCGCGGGAGTTTTCGTGGAGCACAGCGCGGACTTGTTGGTGACTACAAACACTGTCAAAGCAGGTGCATGCTGCAATGCATTCGGTTTTCTGAGTGCCCACTTCGTGTCTATTGTATGTTGTGTGCTCTGTGTGAGTCCCGACTACCTTATTCAATTGTGTGCTATTTTGGTGTTGTGACCTGTAGACATTAACGAAACTTCCGAGTGGAAAAAAAAATAACGATGTTGCGAATGGGCCCTTTAAATTATACATCCCTGAGAGTCGTGAATTTTGAGGCCCGTGTGCTTAGATTTAGGGGCAGGTTAAAGAACCCTAAGTGGTCGAAATTTCGAGAGCCCTTCACTACAGCGTCTCGCATAATCATATGGCTGTTTTGGGACATCAAACCGCGATAGTTATCATTAAGACAGTCGTAAATTGCACCAGGCCCCGCCTTCTGCCAGTGAGTGTTGCATGAGCATTGTCACAGATAGTCCAGGACTGCCACGAATCAGTAATTTGAAGGGCCCAGTGAAGCAGGCTACACTCAAGCCTCCTTCAAAATAAGTTCGTTATATCAGAAAATTGTCTCAAAGGTATATCCTAACACTATATCTATTGCAAGACTTAGTCTTCATTTACTTTGTCATAACCGATATTTCGTTATATCTAGGTTTTTTTATAAAGTTAAACCTGGATATAACGAAATTGACAAATTCCCAGAAACATTCGTTTTATAAAGATTTCGTTATATCAAAGTTCAGTATGAAAATACGAAAAATAAATGCACAAATTAAACAAGGGGAACTGGAAGCAGGGCTCACTCAAAAAAAAACATATCTAGTAGTAAACAACTTGGTTATTCTTTTGATGGCAATTATATGGACACTCTCAGCGGGTTTTCGCCGTTGCCGTCATAGTCCGTGCAAGTCCAAATTGATAACATGCTCCCACTAACTTTTATGAGCGGGTAGAAGTAAAAGCGCGCGCTACTGAAGCAGAGATCAAATGAGCTGGCCCATCTCTCTCGACTGCAGGGCGCATACAATAGTATCCTTCCGCGTGTTAGAGCTGCCGTCAAATGCTCAAACAGAAAGGAAACCAGTCGTCTTTAACGAGCATGAAAAATGCAGAAGGGGGGAGGTCGCTCAAGTAGCAACGGGGAGCTTGGATTTTAAGGGCATGGTCTCGATCTCGGCAAGCATCAGTGTGCTTTCAACATGGAAGAGACTGTGTGAAACGAGCACTTAACCCTGAAGTGGCCATATTTGCTTACACAAGCGTTTTGTAAGTGTTCCGTGAAATCGAATCCAAAAAAGTTCGCTTCCAGCCTTACTTCGTGGCACATTACAGTTGGTTGCAATTGCATTTGTTGCATTGCATTCAACGTACCGTCATCTTGCCAGAGCTAATCGCGAAGGCTACGGTCTCGCCTACTCGTGGTGCAAGACGGAAGTGCGTGACGAGGCAATCTCTGAAGCTTGTTCGTTGTTACCGTGGTTTGGGAGAGTTTCCATCAGCACCTAATCTGATATTTCCTCGGTAGCCACGACACGGTTGTTTGCACTAAAAGATGCTTGTCGGGAGCCACTCCATGCCTGTGTAGTGAAACCATGCACGCATGCACCATCGAAAACAAAGAGCGAGCGACACGGATACCGCGGAAAACTATTCGCTTAAGCGCTCTCCCTAATGCCCCCGCATGTGCGACGCTGATATCATGGAATTGCCAACCCAAAAGTAGTTCTTTTTTTTTTATTTTGAGGGAGGGGAGGGATCATTCACGCATGCGTCCGCGGCGGCAAAAAGGACGGCAACGAAGGCTCGTGGGGTGCAGGCCTGCCTGCCCGCACACCTGCGCACAAAAGCGCTTGCTCTCCTCTTGGAGTTGCCAGAGCTACAAGCGCGCTGTGCGCGCTGTCACCACTTCACGCATGCTTGTGCCAAATTGACCCAATCCAGGGTGAAATTCTGAGATTGTCCTTAGCGAAAATTTGTTATATAAAGGTTGTATTCCCCTGTTTTTTGGTAAATAGAGGTTGCAAATACATGTGCTTCTATGGAGTAATGGTGGGGAATTGAAAAACTTCGTAATATTCTTTATATGGAGGTTCATTATAGGCAGGTCTAACAGTATTAAGGTTTTCGTTGTGCTTAATGTAGATTTCATGTTTTAAATTTCGCGCTGTACCTAATTAGTGAGGCATTTTATGGTCCACTTTAGAGAATGGTGTGCCAGATGGAATTTTATTCTGACGTGTGCTTATTAATTTGCCAACAGAGGAAAACTACTTTGATGACGAAGCCAAAAGCTGTCGCCTGCTGAACCATGTTCTGGCAACCCTGACTGCTTGCTTCCATCATGGAGGCAAGCAGTTTCTGACAAAAGAGAAGGCTGCATTCTTGCTCAAGCCATTGGTGAACCAGGTATGGGAAAAGTGACATTCAGTTACTAATTGTTTTTGCGTTGTTTAGCAATTAGGGCGACAACGTAAAAAGTAGAAAACTGCTGGAATTTTTCTTGAGAGATTCAAGTATTGGTTAGGTAGCTTTGAGAGTTTTTGTAATCAAAATGTAAAGACTAGGAAGCACAATATAGATGCTTGAATGCTTATGCTCTATGGCAATTGTGTTGAGTTTGAATAACCGTCTGCAAGTTTTCAGTACAGTATTCAATCTTTAAAGAGGGCCTCGATACCACTAATAAAGTAGTTCCCCTTACAATAAATAGACCTCGGCTTGTTGAAAGCTTTTACCGATATGTGCAAGCTAATGGGAAGCTGTCTGGGCAGCTTTGAATAGTGAAACAGCAGTTTTTATACCTGTCTTGTGACTTAACATCACCACTTTCACAATACAATGACACCGAGATAGTATAGTTTGAAAATTTGCAGGTCAGCATTAATCAGAACTTGCAGCAAAATGAATATTCTTCGACTTTGCTCAGGTTCACTAGAAAGCTGATCAGCATGTGGGATGAATCTTTATCGGGAATTGAATTGAATTCAGCTTATTTGCAACAAGGTTACGAGGATGACCGGGCAAAAAGGCTGCATTGTGCTGCTTTAGAAGAACCTGGCCACCTCATACACTGGGCACTTTCACTGTGGTCAAACAGGAGTGCGCCATATACACAGTGCATAAACTTACAAAACGATAAACAACCGCGGCCAAAATTCAGGAATTAGGTTGCGGTGGGAACACTTGACAAATAAAGGAAAAAAATAGCCATGGTGATAAAGACAAAAAAAAAACAAAAAAACAGATGAATCCATGGTAGCACAAGCAATCACATACCGTATTTACAGTCGAGCCCGACTATATTGAACCCAATTATATCAAATTATTTCGTATATCGAACAATTCCTAAACACTGTAAGTTTACATTGAGAATATATAGCAAAAGTTACTGTTTTATAGAACGAAAATAGCAACGACAACTGATATATGAAACTCCATGTGCCTCAAAAGTGCCCCAGCCAGTTGGCTTTTCCTCGCGGTGGCGGGGAAAACTGCCGGCGCCACCCCAGAAAAGGTTGGTTAGACCCGGTTGTGCGCGGGCAAACACCCCCCTCCAAGAAATGATCCTGGCCCGCTCGCAGCGCTTACAGCCAATCAGAGGCCGTCGTGCTTTCTCAGAGGCACGGAGGCGGTAGAAATGAGCGCCATTTTTTTTTTCTTTATGCTTGTGTGCCGGCTGCTGCTGATTCAGCGTGGTCTGTGGTGTTGCCTGTTGGTGCTCTGTGAACTGTATTGGCGCGCTGTCATCATGGCTTGCGCAAAGAGGCAAAATTTGCCGTTCGCCGCGAAACTCGAAATCATCAATCGGGTTGAGCGCGGTAAAAAGAAGTCCGACGTCGCCGCCGCATACAAAATTCCAAGGATCACCTCGAGTACTATCCTGAAGAACAAGGCAGATATCAGGGCTAAATCGGACAAAGGGCAAGGTGCCCGTGGTGCCCAACGTGTGCGCGCTGCTGGGTACGGAGATGTTGAAGTGGCCGTTTACAAGTGGTTTGTGGACGTTCGGTCACGAAACATCCCGGTGTCCGGCCCTATAATCGAGCAGAAATAATGATTTCTAAGGCGGTTCAGGCTGGCTTCAGCTGTTCAAAGAACGGCACTACATAGTTGGCAAAGCTGTTACAGGTGAAAGCAAAGCGGCGTACCTGGACAGCGTAGAAAAATGGCTTGAGGAAAACTGGCGAGATATCGCATCAAGATATCTTCAATGTGGATGAAACCGCTCTATTTTGGCAAATGTTGCCAAACAAGACAAGCGGTGGCAAGGCAAACAAAGCTCGTGTGTCCGTGCTGTTGGCAGCTAATTTAGACGGATCGAAAAAGCTTCGACCTCTGGTTATCGGGAAAAGCACGGCACCGCGGTGTTTTCGGAATGCGCTGTCGTTTCCACTTACGTAGCGAGCAAACTCAAAAGCGTGGATGACCGGGGAGCTTTTCAGCAGATGGCTATCATCGTGGAATGATGATTTGATTGGCGAAAGTCGCAAGGTGTGCCTGCTCGTGGACAATTGTTCATCGCACCACTGCAGTACGAGCTTCAGCAACATCGAGCTGCGTTTTTTGCCATGAACACTACGTCTGTACTGCAACCACTGGATCAAGGCGTTATACGCGCAATGAAAGTTGACTATCAGAAGTGCCTGATGGAGAGGCTGCTGCAGAACCTTCGTGTCAACAGGGAGCTTAAGATCTGCTTGCTCGGAGCTATTTCTATGTTGAGTATATCTTGGGCAGATGTCAAGGAGACGATCCAGAACTGCTTTAGGCATGCCGGCTTCCGCATGCCTGGTGATGACACCCCAAATTCTGACAGCACTGAAGACACCGCAGGTGTTTCCGCCGAAGTTTGGAACGAGCTGGCAGAGTTCCTGGGTGCTATCGACGGATCGACATTCAACGGGTTTGTCGGCGCGGACGATGATGTCCCCATCATGGGTCAATTACAGGATGAGGATTACATTGCAGAGGTTGTGCCGACCACGAGCCAAAGCGACAGCAATATGGAAATCGACGACCGCCCATTGCCTACATCCTCCTAAGTGATTAGTGCACTTGCGTTGGTCCGGCGCCATTGCTTGAATGTGGAAGGTTGCGGCCTCAGCTGCTCCGACTCGAACAGCGTGGAAGCGTGCGTGCTGTCGCAGGCAGCAAAGTCGTTGACACAGAAAAAAATCCTGGACTATTTTGTTCCACAGTAGGGCACGCAAGTAAGCCACCATATTAATAAAGTACTTTTCTTCTAATTTGTTATGTATGTGCCTTTGTGTCAAAACCTATACCGGGCCTGTATCGAATTATGCCATATATCGAACTAATAAACGTTTTTTGGCGAGTTCGATATACCCGGGTTCGACTGTACCTGCGTAATGAACGCACTTGCATAATAAATGCACCCTCAACTTCAGTCATCAAGATTTTGATTTTTTTTTTGTCCCCGCATACTAAGTGCGCCCTCTACATTCATCCGCTGCAGTCCCGCCAACCGACACCTAGAACCTCCTCACCAATTGGATCTCTTCCGTTTTTTATTATTATGCCGACCTCCCCCCTCCGCCACCTTGGCTTGCTCCCTCCCCCCTTTCGCCCGTTCCCACGTGCCATATATTTTTTTTTTGTCTGTGCGTGGCAAGTCCCCAGTCTCTTTTATCTGTGCACCACAGCGGGCTTCTCGAACGGTGCGAGTGTAGAGACATTGCAGTTGATAAGCACACAGGGAGCGAAGGTCACGAAACTGCCCGTGCCAACTGACGGTCGCATCTTGGAGAATACGAAACTTTAAAGCCCAACCACGTGCACTAGGTGGACAATGAGTTGGGTGGCATAACTAATGATGTTTCGCTTATTTGCCACTGCTTGGAGAATAAGTTGGGGGGTGTGCCTAACCACGTTTTTCATATTTGCCACTCGTTGGAGAATGAGTTGGGTGGCACACCTAACCATGTTTCGTTTATTTGCCACTAGGTGGAGAATAAGTTGGGTGGTGTGCCTAATCACGTTTCTCTTGTTTGCCACTAGGTGGAGAACGAGTTGGGTGGCATACCTAACCATTTTTGCTTATTTGCCACTAGGTGGAGAATAAGTTGCGTGGCATTCCTAACCATGTTTCGCTTATTTGCTATTACGTAGAAAATAAGTAGGGTGGTGTGCCTAACCACATTTCTCGTATTTGCCACTAGGTAGAGAACGAGTTGGGTGGCGAGGAGGCTACACAGAAGCGAGTGGAGCGGCACCTGGTACCATGCTTGGCCAGCTTTGCCGCTGGCTGTGAAGACGCAACTCGAAAGGAGTGGCACCAGAAGCTCCTCCACCAGATGCGCAACTCCAAAGCACAGGTGCGTCACGAGAAAAGCCATTGCACTCTCTCTTTTAAAAATGCTTTGCTATTGACGATGTGCATGAAAGTTGACGCAGAAATAATGGGGCACGTGCGTGGTGCCTGCGTGTAGCACACAGTTTTAAGTAAAGCTTTTATGGCACACAGATTTAGGCGGCATTTTACGCAGAAAAATTAAGTTTCAATGGGGGTAAAGCTTGTGCAACAGGGTGTAAGATTAAGTTATGTTAAATAAGATTAAATTAAATTATGTTAAATAACCAGCATCAATCAGTGAAACTGGCACAGTTAACCACGTCAAATTGTGGTTGGTGTCAACCACAGTTTCTCGATATTACACTACGCAAAAGAGTCCTCGGTTAAGGCGGGTGACCCTTCTTCCATTGAGGCCACCATTTTTTCAGTTAACCACCAAACCGAGGTTGGCAGGCCTGGTTCCTACTATCGTGGTTGGCGGAATAACCGCGGTTTCGCATATCGTGTAACATAAGTTAACAACGGTTACATTGACCATGGTTTAGGCTGCCTGTGTAACTTGGGTGTAATTGTGTCGGGCAGAGAATAGTGAGTTTGTTGGGTTCGGAGACTGTTTTCTTTGAGTTAACATTGCTGATAACTTGCTTAAGGGGAGACGCTCCTCGAAAGCACTTTTTTTTTGTTATTCAACTTAGAGCTTCAGAAATTGGACCACTGATGCAGTTTTTCCTCCTGATTCCAAATCTGTAATCAGTTTTTACATAAGTGCAATAGTTTGGGAGTTGTGTTTCAAGTAATGGTGAAACTTGATAAGTTTTCCGGGAACTTTCGCGCATACTAAATGTTCATGCAGAGAGTTGTTCAATGGCTCCTTTTGCTCCCTATTAGCCATAGAGTGCCGATATCTAGCTAGAAATTGTGCTCCAACTTTGAAACTATGAAAAAAACATCTGTGTAGCAAACTACTCTTTTTTTTTCCACTCGACCACCATTAAATTTATTAATAGATATTTACAGCTGATAGGTTGTGCTGATTCAAGTAGATATCGGCACCCTACGCACTCTCCTCAATGTGTGTGCCAAATTTCGTCGTCGTATGACCATTCTAAGTGCCCGAAACACTTCCCGCAAAAAATGCAAATTGGCCAAAATTGCGAAATGAGAAAAACGCGTTTGAAAGTTTGAAAGTCTGTATTTACAAAAATGAAAAACGCAGTAGCACGAAACTTGTGCTGAACACATACACACATGTCCAGAGGGAATATCAGTTGTCTAAAACTCTCCAGCACCGTAGGTTTTCCCTTCCCGGCTGGTGCGGCAGGACTCTTCCACCCGGGCCCTCTTGGCTGCACTGCGACGGTGTGCCCTCGCCTCAGCGGTCTGACGCACATTCATCTTGTGCATGCGCATGCTGTCTCGGCGGTCGCTGAGGGTAACCAGGGCCTCCGAAGGAAGCACCCCAAGCTCTTCCAGCACCTTTTCAAAGCTCGCGTGGCCCCGGTTGAACCACAGGACTGCAATGGCTGTGGCTGTTTCCACAGCAGTCCGGGAAGCAAACCGGGTCTTTGGACACAGCAGCCATATTTTGCTGTTCAGGGACTCGGCCGCGTTCTGTGTCTTGCCGTGGAGGCACCGGGCAAGCAGCTTCGCATCTGTGAGACGCTTGTAGATTGGGAGGACTGCCAAACCCTGGGCCTTGGTCAGGAGGGGGGTGTGGCACGGTGCAGGCTGGCCCTGCGCCTCAGCACGTCGGTGCTTGCACCACGAGTCTGGGCCTGCAGGACAGAACTTGTGACTTCCAGCACCGTCTGTTGAGCACGAGTGCAAACATGAGGCCCATATGGCAGTGTACATCTTGTGGACATTTCCCCGATTGTTCACAATGGCCACCTGAAAGTAAGTTTGAAGCTTCTGGATGGTGGTCTCCTTCAGCTTCTCCCCTCGTGGAAGTGGCGTTGGCAGCTTCCGCAGGCCGGTGCCCAGACGTTTCGCCACGTGGTTGGTGCACTCCTTTTTTTCAATTGGAGTGTCAGGGTACACGTTGGCATCACAGACCCCGTTGTAGGCCTTGCTGTCTCCATCGCTTAGGAAGATGGTGAACCGCAGGGGTGTCTCATAGTCCACAGTCCTCTGCCAAATGCGCACTGCAGCTTCGGCCTCCATGGCATGCGAAGAACAGTCGCAATTCTTCTCACAAACGGGATGATGAAACGCCTGCCATGTTTCTTCATCGCCTCCCATGTCGTTATGCAAACTGCACGCCAGGCAGAAGTTGGAAAGCACTTCATAGTCCAGGCACAAACCAGTGTCCAAGGACACTACAGTTCCCACACCATTGTGGCTTTTGTGGCCTCTTTTTTGCCATGTGCCGTCAAACATGACTGGCACGTCACTGTTACCAGCCACCTCTTTGGTGACGCTGCGTGCCCTTTGCATGTTTTCACAGACAGCCTTCACTGCCGCACTGTGAATCTTTTTGCCGATAGCATGGAAGGTCTTATGGTGCATAGGGTTTGGCAATCCAACTACTGCACAAAATCGTGAAAGTTGCTCATGCCCGATACCGACGGCACGCGCTGCAAGCACCACTTTCAGGTTCACGGCAAAGGCGTCACGCGAACTCCCGCTGTCGTAGCTTCTGCTTGCACCGCGGCCGCCATCTGACGCGACCCGCTTCGACGAGTACGCGGACGAAAGGATGCTCTCCGAGCACTCCGCATTCTCGCAGTGTAGCTCCAGAAACGCCGAAAGGCCTTTCCGCTTTTTATTCGGTGCCCGAACTGCGAGTTTACTCTCGTGACAAACGGGGCATGCCGCGCCTGCGACGACGGCCGTCAATGCACCCAACTCGCACAGCACTACGCTTTCGGCACGATCGGCATTCGGCCTGACGTCGTTTTCGAATAACGCGATCTTTTCTGCGATGCACTCACAAAATTCACTGCAGCGTTGATCTCGTCGTCGCAGTTGCCATGGTCGACGTTGCCGTGGTCGATGTTAGGCCTACCGGCCGCTGGCCCGTCGCGGACATTTTCGTTGGCGGTGGCTTTCTTGTACGTCCTCCGCCGCTTCCCTCTGAACTTGTTCTTACTTCTGTATTTCCGATGGTCGGCAACGGCCTTTTTCGGGCTTGCCATCGCACGAAAACAGCGAAAAATAACTCCGGAAAACAGTGAAGCGAACTACGGCAAGAAAACACGGGTGCTGTCAGCCAATGGCGGCCCTGCGTTAGTGGCGCGCGGTTTGAAACGGCGGGAAAAGACTGTTTTTGTTGCTTTTTTTTTAGATTTTTCGTGAACGTACGAGACTTCAAGAACCGGGATCGTGGAGAGTAAGGACAACTCTACACGAGCCAGCGGCCGCAATATGGCGGACAGCTCTCTTCGCGGCCCCGCGAGCACGCGAACAGCAGCCCGTTTTGTGTAAATTTCGTGATGCCGCGCGTCACTGCCGCTCACTCAGACGCGTTTTTCACTGACTTCTGATGCTTATTTCGCTGTGATATTTTCAGATGTCAAAATATAATGTATAAAGATGATAAAGCAACAAAAAACAGAAAAAATGAAATTTGGAAAAAAAAACGCGACTTTTCGACCCGCGTCTCCCCTTAACACTGATAATATACGAGCATTCTCAGTGCGCAAAGGGTTGCTTTGTTTTTTTACCAGATAGCAATTGCTACAACGCCAGCATCCTTTGCAGTCATTCGAAAACCATACACTTACTGATGACTGATGCAGCAGTAAGGGCTACGGTGAAAATGGTATCTTGGAAATGGTTCTGTTCTGTGCAGGTGCGTTACACAACGCTGCTGGCATTCCGCGAGGCAGTGCGTAAACTCGGCGACGACTACCTGTCCTTCCTGCCCGAGGCTGTTCCATTCCTGGCTGAGCTTATGGAAGGTATGAACTGCTTGCATAACCTAGCAAAAAAGTTTCATTTCTGTTTAAGCCGTGTCATGAACGGCTGAATATTTCACCCCTAGCTGCACAGTCAATTGATAGAGTACTGGTTGTTAGAGTAAAAATGTGTACGAATTTTTCTCAAGTGGGGGTCTCAAACGCGTGGCCCATGGTTCGCATGCCGCCTTTCCTTCTGCTAACTGCAGCTTCACAAAGGATTCAGTATCGAAACTGAGCTTAATGGTTGGCTCGTATAATTTTTCGCCTGTCCCAATCGATAACGTTTTGTTTAGGTAAGCTCTTAGGCAGGACTAGATTCAAGCATTGGTTTCTTTTTCTTTTTTTCATGAAGCGTTTAATGTGATTACCATGTCCGTGGAATGAAATTTCCATTTAAGAATCGGTGTGCAGATTGTAATCATTCCAGAGGTCGATATGGATATTTCTCTCGAATCCCTATGCCAAATTGTCTTCACAAATGACCCATATATGAGGCTCAGGAAGGACTCGTGCAACATTCAACGTCAGGTGACATTTTGGTCAACTCCGCGTCCCCTCCCCCCACTTGTTCCAGCCACCTCCTTCGTCCCTGCCCTTGTGGGATCAGGATTCAGTTATTGTTAAAGGTTCACTCACCAGGTTCGAAGATGCGAGGAGGCAATGTCAAAACCCTTGCCGCTCACCCCATGCCGCAAGCCAAATCTCTTCTCTAGCCTATCCGGCGCCCTACCAAGAGGTCACGTGCGCATGACGTGCTTCGAACAGGCTCAACCTCCAAGCACGCGAGCAGCGTTGTTTTGTTGACCAGCGTTATTTGGTGGTCTACTGCCTGGTTCTGTGAGATGGTTTGAAAACGCTGGCTACGTGGCGGTAAAATAGATTACAGTGCTCGAACGCACAGGACCATTAATTTCTTTTCCAGAACTAGGCGTCTGCTTGATCAGCTAACCGCGGGAACACGAACGCATGCGAAATGCAAGTACATTGGCCCCGCATCTTGTTGGAATCCAAGGGGGCGAAAGTTAAAAATACGTGCACATTTCCTTATTGCGTCTCATTATTTATCTGGAATTTTATTAATCGATTCAAGCAACAAATCACATAAAGTACATTGCATGTTAAATAATTTTTGCCGTGTCATGTGCTACTTTTGGCAACGTCAGAGCACAGGCATTTTCGTAGAGGACCAACATCACAGCACTGCCGTGTACCTAGGCCGATTCTTACATGTACATATTGCCCTCATTCTCAGAGCGCAAGCCCGCGAAAGGAAAGGAGAGCAGCGTTCATCTTGAAACTTGACCCATTTTCGCAGTGCGTAGCAGTGCAAATTTCGGCAGACGTGATCGCGAACTGCCCCGTGTACGCATTGCACTTGTCAGCTCAAAATTTTCGAACCTGGTGAGTGACCCTTTAACAATAACTGAATCGTCACCCACAATGTTCTAAACATTAGTGATGGCAGTGCTGGTGGCTTTGACTAAACAGTTATGAATGTAGTTTTGGTCTGATAGTAGCACTGGAGGGCCAGAGAAATTTTTAACAAGGTCTTGCAAAAAAAAAAAAAAAGGACAAGTAAGGGTTACATATGGGTAAATGCTGTAATAATTCAGAGGTATCGGTTTTTCGCTATAATCTATTCTCAGGGAAGGCCCAGGAAAGTTAGTTTTGACAGTAGGTTCAACGCATTCACTCTGCCCTATGTTTCTTGAAGTCTGATACGACTTCTATATTTGAAGTGTGATGACGTTTATTCGAGCAGAGAAGTCGCAACGAGGTCGTGACGGAAAGTGGGCATACGGCAAGTCTGGCAAAGGCGGCACAAACTCTCGCGCAAGCAGAGCACGGGGCTTTTCGTTGTATTCCGAAGGCGCATACGCGTTAGTGCGTGTGCTCCACTACAATACCCCCGGGGTGAAGGGTAGTCATCCTGGCGACTCAGGGAGTAGGCACAATGAGGGGGTCGTAGTAGGGCTTGAGACGGTCGACGTGCACGGTCTCGCGTCCTCGACGGCGCAAATCTGGTGATTTTGTTAATGGCTCGATGATGTAATTCACCGGGGAGGTCGCGTCAATGACACGGTACGGACCGTGGTACCGGGCCAGAAGTTTAGAAGACAGGCCAGGAACGTGCGGGGGCACCCAAAGCCACACAAGGGAGCCAGCACGAAATGTAGGAGCTATGTGGTGAGCGTCGTTGTGTCGAGTCTTTTGTAGACCTTGAGCCTCACTTGTCAGAGACCGAGCCAACTGACGGCAGTCTTCAGCGTATCTGGCGACTTCCGAAAGCGGGGAGCACTCAGATGCATCAGGGCGGTACGGGAGTATAGTGTCGAGTGGGTGGGAAGGTTCGCGGCCGTACAATAGAAAGAACGGGGAAAAACCGGTAGTCGTTTGCGCCGCGGTGTTATAAGTGAAGGTAACAAAGGGCAATACAGCGTCCCAGTTAGTGTGGTCGGAAGAGGTGTACATGCTCAGCATGTCGCCAAGTGTGCGGTTGAACCGCTCAGTAAGACCGTTTGTCTGTGGATGGTATGCGGTAGATTTCCGGTGGATAATGTTGCATTCAGCGAGGATAGCTTGGATGACCTCCGACAGGAACACTCGACCCCTATCACTGAGTAATTCCCGCGGAGCACCATGGCGTAGAATGAAGCTGCGGAGAATGAAGAGTGCAACTTCGTGGGCGGTCGCTGCCGGTAGAGCTGCAGTCTCAGCGTAGCGGGTCAGATGATCGACTCTGACAATAATCCACCGGTTTCTAGAGCTACTATATGGGAGGGGGCCATAGAGGTCTATACCCACGCGGTCGAATGGGCGAGCCGGGCACGGGAGCGGCTATAACATGCCAGTAAGGTGCCGCGAAGGTGTCTTGTTCTGTTGGCAAGTGGTGCAAGACTGAACGTATTTGTGCACAAAGCGATACATTCCTCGCCAGTAATATCGTTCGCGCAGCCTTTCGTAGGTTTTCAGGACACCTGCGTGAGCACTTTAAGGATCTGCATGGAAATTCATGCAGATGTCAGAGCGCATATGAGTTGGGACAGCAAGGAGCCACTTCTGACCACCAGGCATGTAGTTGTGGCGGTACAGAATGTTGTCTCGTAAAGACGACGAAGATGTGTCGGGAAATCAGCTGAAAAGACTACGATGTCATCTAGGTAACACAAGCAAGTTTTCCACTTGTGGGCCCGCAATATGGTATCTATCATGCGCTCAAACGTCGCAGGCGCGTTGCGGAGCCCAAATGGCATGACTTTGAACTCATATAGGCCATCCGGCGTTACAAAGGCTGTTTTAGGGCGATCACATTCAGCCATTGGCACCTGCCAATACCCAGAACGCAGATCCAAGGATGTGAAGTACTCGGCGCCTTGTAAACAGTCAAGAGCATCGTCTATTCATGGTAGCGGGTAGACGTCTTTCTTTGTAATCTTGTGTAAGCGGCAATAGTCCACGCAAAATCGAACGGTGCCATCTTTTTTCTTTACCAGAACCACGGGTGACGACCAAGCGCTTTGAGAAGGCTGTATGACTCCACGTTTAAGCATGTCATCTACTTGCTCCGTAATGACGCAGCGCTCTTCTGCAGAAACGCGGTAAGGACGCTGTCGCAGAGGCGAATGTGAGCCGGTGTCAATAGTATGAGTGACAGTCGGGGTCCGGCCCAAAGCAGGTTTCTGAAAGTCGAAAGAAGAGCGAAACTTGTTAAGGAGAGCAACAAGTTGGCTGCGATGCGAGGGGGGAAGGTCTGCGTCAATAGCATTGTCGAAGGCTGGCGAGCTTGATGGCTCAGACGCCTGAGTGATTGCGGCAATGTGACATGGCGTTTCGTCGGGAAGAATAATATCATTAATATGGTCGACAGGTTGCACATATCCTAACGTTTCACCACGAAGCAACCAATGGGGTAGTTGCAGTGGTTGGTAACCAGCATTACGGTTAAACCAGACGCAATTGTAAGAACGGCAAATGGGAGCACGATGCCCTTGCGTTCAGTAAAAACAGGGGATGGCGTAAACACCACCGTGGCGTCAGGTTGTGCCACACATGAAAGGCTAATAGGGACTGAAGCTTTTGGAGGCAAGGTGATGTTGTCGTCAGTGATGAGTTTTTAGAGCAGTGGTGAATGGTCGGGCGATGGAAATTCACAACTTGGCACTAGGGACACTTCCCCATGGCAACAATCGATGATAGCTTCATGACCTGATAAGAAATCCCAACCCAGGATGAGGCCATGAGAGCAAGATGGCAGTACAAAAATTGGACGATGTACAAAACGTCTTGGATGACCACGCGCGCCGTACACACAGCCGAGGGATGAATGCGTTGCGGGCTAGCCGTGGACAGCACGATGCCACAGAGAGATGTGGTCACTTTCTTCAGTTTGCGACAAAATTTTGCTTTCATCACAGAAACGGCGGCCCCAGTATCAATTAACGCTTGTGTGGCGACTCCCTCAACATTGACATCAACAACATTTTGCGGCGAAAACAGAGGGCTTGGGGATTGCGCACAAGTTGCAGTTCTTGCCTCTGGAACTGCACTGATTAGTTTCCCTCCTCAGGAGGTGGTCGACGACGCATAGGAGATGGCGATCGGCGACGAGGAGATGGGAAACGAGAAGTTGATGGGCGACGATCCGAGTCAGAGTGCCTCTGTTCGTATGCAGACGTGGCGGCCTGCTGCGACGCATAGGTAGGAGTTCCAAAGGAGGCGTACGCAGGTGTGGGATGGCGGCGGCAGTAGTGTGCAGTGTGGCCAGCGATGCCACATGCGAAGCAGATAGGACGGTTGTCATGAGTGTGCCACTCATTCGATGGACGGAAAAAGCGAGCTGAGGGCCTGTAAACCGGACGCGCTGCCGGAGGAGGTGGAGCCGATAAGGATACTGGATGCGGTGGGGGCCGCGCAACCACAGCTGCGTAGCTGAGAGGTGAAGATGGTGGAGGTGGTGCGTAGCTGACAGCTGAGAGATTAGATGCTGCTGAAGTGCATGCATAAGGGGCCTGCACTGTAGGTAGGACATCGCAAATTTCAGTGCATATGGCCTGCTGCAGTGTCGAAGGCAGACTTGCGGTGGGCGCGTTGCTATGCGGCAGCAGGGAGAGCTGTCGGGTGACTTCCTCCCTGATGAAGTCTTTGATCTGGTTGGACAGACTTTCTTGGCGAACGTTGGCATTTGCGAGTGCGACAGCCGAGATCGAATCTGGTGGTGAGACACTCTGTCGGGCGATGGAACGCTGACGGCGTAATTCATCGAAGCTCTGGCACAGGCTTACGAGGATTGCCACCGAGGTCGGGCTTTTCGCTAGCAACATCTGGAATGCGCCATTCTCAATGCCCTTGAGAATCTGCCGAATTTTCTCTTCTTCGGGCATAGATGGGTTAACGCGCCTGCAGAGGTCGAGCACATCCTCAATGTAACTCGTAAACGTTTCGCCAGGCTGCTGGGCTCTGTGGTGCAGATGCTAGTCAGCGCGGAGCTTGCGGACCTCTGGTCGGCCGAACGCTTCAGTTACGAGGGTCTTAAAGGAGGACCAGTTGGCGATGGCGGTTTCGCGGTTGGTAAACCAAAGCTTAGCTACGTCTGCCAAGTAAAAGATAAAGTAGGCGAGCTTAGAGTCGTCGTTTGACTTGTTGCTGGCGCTTACGCGTTCGTACAAGGAGAGCTAGTCTTCGACGTCTTGCTCACCACTTCCGCTGACGATTAGTGGGTCCCGCTGGCGAGTAGCGCCGGGGCAGGTAGACGGGGCAGCCGATGTTGCTGGCTGGGCTGGGACGGGCTGGTTGGCGACTGCGTCAGTCATGTTTCGCGGTTTTCAGGCAACATGCGAGAGCGTAGCTCCAGGTCTGCTTGGGGATCTCAGCAGCCTCCACCAAATGTGATGACGTTTATTCGAAGAGAAGTCGCAACGAGGTCGCGACGGAAAGTGGGCGTACGGCAAGTCTGGCAAAGGCGGCACAAACTCTCGCGCAAGCACAGCACGGGGCTTTTTGTTGTCTTCCGAAGGCGTATACGCGTTGGTGCGTATGCTCCACTACAGAAGCATTACAGTGGTCACCGTTTTGGTCAGAAGTGTGTGGGACGACCAGCATACTCCATGTCATTCCGCAAGGATAATTTCAGGATGAAAGCAATGAATGTTTGGTACCACAAAAGTGTATTGGGCGCCACCTGTTGCTTTTTGTAAACATGAAGTGAACCGCAAAATTAAACTGTGTAGAGTCAGATTTATGCAAGTCTATCTACCATATTAGAATAGGCCATTGTTCTAATCTCACAACCCAAACTTTTCTGACCTGTTATTTTGTAGTCATGGTTGCTGCCATCACAGTTTATACTTGCTGATGCAAACAACAGCTTACTCAGGTTCACGTAATTTCGGGAATGTCAGGAGCTAAAGTTATTGACATGACACGATTTTCCGAAGGTCAGGAGCTCAAGTTGTGTAGATAATTGATCTTTACCTTTTTGGTTCTATTCAGATGAGAGCACTGAAGTGGAAAGCCTATGCCAAGACGTCATCCTGGAAGTGGAGCAGATCCTCGGTGAACCTTTGATGAAATATTTTTAGAGTTTCTCGAGTGCAATAAACCTTATGAACATGAGGCATTGTATTTCACTCTTACGAATACTTTTGCGCTTTCACTAAAAACATATCGGCCGCCTGTAGTTGAAAGCGCCTGATTGTGGACCGAAAGTTCATGAGCACACTAGCCCAAACGAAATATAGCAAAATATTGGTAACAACAAAGTTGACGAAGAATAGTTTTGCAATACATAAAGTGTTCAGGTAAAGGTAAAGGTAAATTACCTTTGTAACAAATTTTCGGATATAACAAACTTGTTTTTCGGTAATATGCAACTTCATTAGAATAAGGTTTGAGAGTGTATAGTGATTAGACATCTTTTTTGGCTACGGAAAGTATTCGCAGTGATGGGTATGATACCGCTATTGCTTCAATGTGCTACATTTCAGCTACATCTTTGCTACAACTGAAAAGAAACGCTACTGCACTGCTCCAAAACTTTAAGAAGCCCACAGAATGGCAAAAACTGCGCCATTCTCCACGTCAGAAGCTACATCTGTGAGAACTAGTAGCTCACAATGTGTAGCTTTTGCCAAAGCTCAGCGGCAGAAGGCTGTCTCAACCCCATTCACAGTGTCCCTCTGCAGTTAAACCTGCTTATAACGAACCTCCATATAACGAATTCCTCAATACAACAATATAACGTTGTTAGTTTGTTGTCGTCCTTTGTATGTTGTTTGCGTGCGTCATTTGTGCGTGAGCATTGTGCTGCACGTTTCGGTCTGCTTGCCGCTCTAAGTGTTACATTTCAAGTTGTTGTTATCGCATTCATTGCTTCGCCCTTGCGGCGAAACTGTGACTTCTTATTTTCGGACAACCATGTCCTCACCACCGAGGGGATGCCAGATTAGGCGCTGATAGAAACTCTCTGAGACCACGGTAACGACGGATCTTCGGAGGTCGACTCGTCACGCGCTTCCGTTTCGCGCCGCGCCACGAGTTCGCAGGCTGGTAGCTTACGCGATTAGCCAATTAGTTCTGGCAACACAGCGGTGCATTCAGATCAATGCAATGTTCACGATAGCGAAAAATTGTAAGTTTATAAGAAGTAAGGCTTGCAGCCAACCATTTTGGATCCGATATAGTGGAACTCCTAAAAGAAAAAAACGTTTGTGTGAGCATACGGCTGCTCCAGGAAAAAGTGCTCTTTTCACACAGTCCCTTTGCGTTGAGGCCGCACTGATACTCGCCGAGATAGCAAGCACGTCAGCGATCGCCACCGCCCTTAATATCTAAGTTCATCATTGCTACTCAAGCGATCCCCGCGTTTCAAGCTCGTTCAAGACGGGTGGTTTACTTTCTGTTTGAGCATTTGATGGCAGTTCTAACTACACGCTGGAGATGATGTGCACTTTTCAGGCAATAGGGATGGGCCGACTCATTTGATCTCTGCTTCTGTAGCGCTTGCGCGCTTTCACCCACCTGTAAAAGTAACGATGCGCGGGGGCATATGTATCATGAATTCGGACTTGTTATTGAACATGGCGGTGAAGGCAAAAACTCGCCGCGAGTGTTCATTTAATTGTTATAGCAATAGTAACGCAACTTTTTACTGTAAAATAAGTGTTTTGGTTTAGCTTTGCCTTTGTTCCCTCTTTTGTTTAATTTGCACGTTTATTTTCTAAATTTTTGTAACGAACCTGCATATAGTGAAATCCTCTTTATAAGGAAATTTTCCAGAAGTTTATCAATTTTGTAATATCCAGATTTAACTATATATAGTACAGTCAAACCACGATATAACGAACGCGGGCATAACAAAATATTGGTTATAACGAAGGAAATGAAAAATACTTTTGCAATAGATATGGTGCTAGGAATAAACCTTTATAACGAATTATGGATATAACAAAGTTATTTACACATAAGATGCAACTTTGTTATAATGAGGTTTGAGTGTAGTCAAATCCAGTGTGCACTAGCAGGCAATTTTTTACGAAGATCTTTCAGTGTTGTAAAGCGTAACTGTATATTTGGACTATATTTAGCATTTTCACTGGACCACGCATTTGTTGAGTTGTATGGGCTGTAAAAATAGTTCAAGACGGCGTAAATCCAAGTGACCGTACCACTGCTGTTGCTTTGGTGGAAGCACAGCAACAACCAATGTCTTCTCAGATTTTCATCGCCATCGACTTTTTGTTATGCGACACCTTGCATCCAATATGTGCAAGGATCAAGCATCACTCCCTGCAGCAGTCACCGTTGAATATTGGCTGAACGGCTAAACAGAAATCTTGTGAGTCTATTTTAACATGGGGCACCCACATGATTACGTGGTAGTTTGGTAGTAATGCCACAGGTAAGTGTGAACTGCTCAGTACATTTGTAATGACACTCAATGTTTTTCCATTCGTAAAGATCCATGAGAATACTTTTACAGAACGAAACACTAAAAGAGAGAGGGGTAACACCTCTAGTTTTATTCATCTAATTACCAAAATGCATGTAGTCCAAGGTGTAATGGGAGTATTGATGCTTGTATATTTTTTCATTCAGTTTAATTTGTAGACCCTAGGGGCTTGAGAATGGGCATTAAATAGGGCGGGGAGGGGGTGATACTTTACAATGAATAAAGGAAACTTATTGAAAAAGCAACTAGCAAAGGAAAAGAAATCATGCAACAAGAAGCAAATGTAATGCCAGCATAGTGTAAAAAAAGAAACAGCACAGTTCAGTATTACAAGGTCGGGTAACGTATAGCAGTTGCGATCAATAAGTACCGTATTTACTCGCGTAATGATCGCACTCGCATAATGATCGCACCCCTAAATTTTGTCGTCTAAATTTGACTTTTTTCCCCCGCGTAATGATCGCATCCTGAACTTGTCACATTGACATGTCGTGTGCCAAGTCTAGCTGAACGCACGTATCATTGTTTCTGTCATCTGAAAGTGGGCATCACTATGCTAATGCCATAAATTTACTGATTTAAATTAAAGCAGTCCTTATTTAGATGGAAGAAACTGTTTTGACGTGCGTGACGTACTCACAACCTCCATAACTGACACAAAGAAGAAAAAAAATGAGGTGGCTTCGCTCCACAGAGTGCTTCGCTCCGTCAGCCGCCATGTTTGTTTTGACATCCCGCACTGTTACAGCAGCGGCCACCTGTTGGTCGACCTGTGTTCATCCCGCAGCAATGTTTTTTTTTTTCCTGGGACCAAGTTTTTGTGTGTGTGTGTGCTTTGTATTGTCTGTTGAAGTGCCGTTTCACCATGGGGCGGTATGCGAGCTTTACTGCCGCGTTCAAGCTTAAGGCGCTTGACTACGCACGCGCTAGAGCACGGCAACCGCGCTGCCAGCAGACATTTGTGGCGTCGACAAAATCTGGATCCAATATTGGAAAAAACAGTGCCACATGCTCATGGCTACTAACAGCACGCGATGGGCTTTCCACGGACCCTAACCTGGCAAGTTCCCTGACATTGAAAAGGCAGTCCTCGAATACGTGAAAGACATGGGCAAGGACGGTTATGCAGTGTCATTAGACATGACACGGACGCAGGCGTGCACAGTTTCCCGGAGGCTGGGAATAGCCACAAAGGACTTTCACGCCAGTTCCGGCTGGACGACATGCTTCATGCGGCTTAATGGACTGTTGCTGGCATTCCCAACGCACTCGACGGAACGGAAGATGACCCTCTGTGGGACAGTGAAGACAGTGCCGGTTCCGACAGGGAATCGTGTGGCGACGACACTGACGCCAGTGATGCTTCGGAGTCTGAATGAACGTTAGGGGATCAGCGAGGTAAAAAATAAAAAGGCAGTGTGTCATGCACGTAGCTCCTGCGTAATGGGAGTATTCTAGTTCAAAGGTAAGCCTTAATTTACTTTTAGGTTTGGTTATGTTCATGATAGCTACCGTAAGAATTCTGATTAGCGACTTTTTTGCGTTTTCGGTGCTCAGAATATTTTTACACGGAAAATTTATCCTGCGTAATGATCGCATCCCGAAGTTGGTGCCAATCTTTCTTTAAACAAAGTGCGATCAATATGCGAGTATATACGGTATACAACAGAATACACTCTAGCGAAAAAATGCATAAAATAAATTCAGTTGGTGCGGTAGGACTGCTTACCGGTGTATGATAGGACTGATTGGAAACTAGTTAATTCTTCATTGTCTGCAGTGGTACTGTTCACAGTAGTATCATTGCAAACTTATTGTTCGCAGGATGGAAACATCTTCAGAGCAGAACACTTGTGGGACCTGGGCTGTCGTATGCTATCATTGCTTCACATAATTCAGGCAAAAACACTATAACATGGAAGAATGCAGGAATGAGCGAGTTGGTACAACATGATTGTAAGTGCAAGTAAGGGCAGTGGAGAGAAGGGGACAGAAGAGGGGCACAGAGCACTGAACTCCCAACCGTTTCTTTCTTTGTTTCTTTGGAAGGGCTTCACTTTTTCACACTTACACACTGTTACGACAGCCATGTGCAGAACACAATGACGTCACAAGTATACTGGCACTCTTGATCCCTCTTCTGTCTCCTCCAATCGGTGCCACTGATTTGAACTCATAATCGCTTATAGCATAGCCATCTGCTGGATATGGAGCTCACACTTGCACTGAGGAGATATCTTTCTCTTGTTTTTCGGGCTCCCTGAGGATGCAATAGGTGTGGAGCACTTTAAGGGCCCGGGCTGTCGTATGCTATTGTCGTACAGCGTAACGCAGACAAAACTGCGTACAGTGAAACTTCACTTGAAGCAACCTTCAAGGAACCCTAGGGAAAAGTTGGTTAAAGTAAAAGTTCGCTGAACCAAAATGTATGCAAACTGTTACAGCTTTATATCGGAAGCTAAAAAAGCATCATTTAAGAAATCCAATTGGAACCCTCGTATTGAGAGTGCTGCTTATTTGAATAAGTTTATGCTTATTTAGCATATTTTGAAGAATGCAGTAATTGTTCACGGTGCTTGGGCACTCAAAACTGCAGTGGTTATGGATGGAATGTCTGTCACCTAACTCCCATAAACCATCTCCAGCACAGCACTGCTAGACTGTG